CTTCAGACGTGTGGTAACAATTCCTTATATAAAATTCGCATCTGCAGAATCTGTATTTCGATCGCTGTACCTAACACAGTGCGGTCTAAGCATTCATTTATTATCATTTCAGCAAACTTGTATTGCCTGTGGTGTGATTGATTCTCTGTCCATGTTGATTAACGTGCAAAAGTTACACCTTACTAGATAAACCAGTCTCTTCAGAGGAACTATTCAGGGTACTAAGAAATTTGAAATTTAGCTAGTCGCTCAGTGAAAATTCTAATCTGAATGAAAATTTTAAATGTACAAGAGAAGTTTTTCTTTGAATTGTTTAATCTTTTAAAAATGATTTTAAATACGGATGTTGTTTTAGAAATATATATATATATATATATATATATATATATATATATATATATATATATATATATATATATATATATATATATATATATATATATATAAGGGAGGTAAATCAGATCCTTAAAATTACAGGCCAATTACTCTACTGAGTTGTCTTGGTAAGGTTCTAACAGCTGTTCTTAACAACATAATTTGGCCTTTTCTTGAAGAAAACAAATTATTATCTGATTTTCAGGGAGGTTTTCGAAAAGGATACTCCAAAAACTGATAATATTTTTCCTTGTATTACACAATATGTGTAATACAATATGTGATAAAAATAGGTCTTTTAAATAGAAGATATAAGCCATGTGTTTTTCACTTTTGATGATATTTCTCAGGCTTTGGGCATGGTATAGAGAGTTGGCTTATGGAGAAAACTAATTAATACTAGTATCAATAAGAAAATACTAAAGATATGTATGTATGTATGTATGTATGTATGTATGTATGTATGTATGTATGTATGTATGTATGTATGTATGTATGTATGTATGTATGTATGTATGTATGTATGTATGTATGTATGTATGCCGGCAAGGCGATGGGTGCCATTTACTCGCGGACCTGGGTTTGAAACTCCGTAGAGTACGAATTTAATTTCTTTAACCCGTATGATAGTATTGTTTGTATTAAACTATATATAAATAAATGCAATAAACGGACGACGAACAGTGCTTTCGACTCTTAATAAGACTTTTTCAAAGGCATATACAAAACATAGACAAAACAAACAAATAAGTATAAAAAAGTTGTTTTTGTTAAACTCTACATGGCTATCTCTAAATGAATTAAACCTATAGATGCATTTTATCTCAACCAGCCTGTATATACTTGTTGTGAATACTGAAAGAAATACTGAATCTTTCTATTCGCAACAAGTCTATAGAGGCTGGTAGAGATATAATGTATCTACAGGTTTATATATATATATATATATATATATATATATATATATATATATATATATATATATATATATATATATATATATATATATATATATATATATATATGGCTGTAAATTCTATGTTCACAATGAGAAGAAATCAGGGCTATTTACTATTTATTTATAGTGAAGGAGTTAGAGTTAGACAAGGTGAGAACCTTTCTCTTGCTTAATTTTCCCTGTATCTAAATGACATTGATAATCACATTTTGAACTTAAAAGTAGTGGAATTATAGCTGATTTACAGTGGTTTATTGGCTGGAGATATACTGAGATACTTAGAACTATTTGTGTGACTTTACGCAATACCATTGCAGTTTCAGGTAATCGAAGAGAAATGCAAAAAAAAAAAATACATTGAAATATTCTTTAATTAGTGCCAAAAATATAAACTTGTTATTAGCAGAATCTAAACGAAAATTATGAATTTTGGTAACTGTAGAAACAGGAATGATGTGAAGTTCATATTAGGAGAATCAGAATATAGAACTGTTAGAAATTGTAAATATTTAGGGCTGGACCTAATGAAGAATGGATGGTAGACCATTTTTTTTTTTTGTTTTGTGGGAGTGGGGTGGGTGGAATTTATAACTTAATTAGTCAAGCCAGGAAAGTTTATTTACCTTCTTAAGAAATTAAGATTAAATCTGAAGCTGCCTGTTGAGTGTCAGCTTAATCTTTTGGATAGGACAAAAGTCCCAATTCTCACGTAACCGGCAGCCATCTGGGGTTTTGAAAGATTAGATAACGATAGAACAAGTTCATTTAGATTTTTAAAATATGTGATAAAAATTTACCAAAAGAAAATCCATCCACGGATATGCTTTATGGTGAGCTTGCTAGAACCCCGCTACACTTGCAAATAAAAAGGAAAACTGTCGGATATTTGAGTAAATCTAATGGATAACAAACGAAACTATCTTATATCATAGCTGAGGCTACTAGAGGCTTATAACAATGGTCTAGACCAAAGTTGAGAGTTTTTAAACATCCAATTGAATAGGTAGGTTTCAATTTATTTGAGCTATTCAAAACATTCTCAACAAATGCTGGCTAAATACAATATTTAAAGAAAGACTTCATGATCAGTTTATACAAACATAGGAATCATTGATTACTAACTCGACAAAAGCTGATATAGAATAGAGACATATATAATTTTTAACGGAATTAAAATTAAAACACTATTTTTAAAAGACCTATAAAATTATAATTCAAATAAATAAAATTTCGAACATGTAATCACTGTTTACATATAGAGAAGGGAAGATGAAAAAAAAATTTGTCTAGATATGAAAGATTATGTACGCTTTGCATGCTTAACTATGTTGGTGATGAATTTCATTATCTCCTTGAATGTAGCTATTTCAGAGAATAAAGAAAGTAATTACTACATTACACTTCTATACGAGACCAAATGTACCAAAGTTTCAAGAATTATTGTGTTTTCAGAAAATTGGAGATTTAATAAATTATTCTAAAACGATTGATATTATTTTATCATTTCGTACATTTTCAATCATCTTTACTCGATGTGTTTATAATAATATACAAGCTGTCTTTCCAATTATACAAATGTAATTAAGTTTCAACATGATCTTATTCTACCTAAGCAATAACTGTAATAATGTAATAATGCTGTCAATCTGAGTTATACTGCATTTACTGTGAGAATAAAAATTGTACCGTCCTTAACCGATGCACACGCATGCAAAATGAGATACTAATATTTTACTGATATGTTTCGTATTGTAACTGGAGTGGAATAAAAAACCTGTCACTGTCATTTAATAAACTACATGTACTAACAGTTCTGCGCATCCAGTGGCAGGACAAAGTACCCAACAGGGAGGTTCTGGAACGGGCCAGCAAGAATAGCATGTTCACCATCAGCACGAGGCGCCTTTGATGGCTCGGCCACGTTAGGAAAATGGATACAGGCCGTATTCCCAAGGACCTTTTATACGGCGAGCTAGTAGAAGGCACACGACCGACTGGACAGCCACGTCTGCTGTACAAAAACGTCTGCAAAAAGGACATGAAAACGGCCAACATCAGCGTCAACAACTGTGAGAGCTGTGCTAACAACCGCTACGAGTGGCGACTTGCTGTCAGACAAGGCATGCCAAGGAAGGGATAAAAGCAAACTTCGCTACAAAGAATGCCAAGAGGAAGACGAAACAACAACAGCCTCGACAAGAATCAACTTTCACCTGCAGCAAGTGCAAAACAAAGATTGTCACGCAAGGGTCTTACTCTTCAGCCACTCGCGACGGTGCAGATAAGGCACCAAAACAGGGAGCCACACAATCGTCTCTCGAAGACGGACGGATACCAACCAACAAAAAATAAGGACAGACTGTAAATGCACTAATAGAATTTTGAAAATGAAGTTTTCTCACGTCTTTCTGTTATGTTATTTTATTTATAAGATAAGATAACATAATATGCACAGCTGAGCATATTGTTTATTTTTTCCAATGTAAGTCAAAGAAGATAACTTGTGAGACATTTCATTTGGCGACGAACAATGAGAGAGAGAGAGAGAGAGAGAGAGAGAGAGAGAGAGAGAGAGAGAGAGAGAGAGAGAGAGAGAGAGAAGCCAAAGCCAAAATGACAAGCGAGATGCAATTTTTGAAGGTACATTGTGCAATTACACTTTAACTAAAGGCTAAATGACGTGAATTTGCTTTTGAGACCAGCTAACTTAATCTCTGGATCAGACTCAAGGGATTAAGGTGAGATTGCTTGTCGTGATGATCTAAAGATCGACGGATGGAAAAGATATTTCTTTTCGTGATAACAACAAGATCAAGGGATCGAGAAGAGATCACTTGTCGTGATAACAGAGCCCAAAGTTTCACAAGGATTAACCAAGCACCATAAACATTCAGGAGAAATCAGTCGGGCAGACAAAGAACGACCGATATCAATCACTTAATGCTAATGTCTTTTCTGGGGGTGGGGGTGTGAGTGGGGTGTGGGTGGGTGATAATATAGACAACACGTTGAATTCCAATCCTAACTATTCCGTATTCTTGTCAACTCTTGAGAAATATTTCAGCCTCGGTCATTCATTCAATATATCTGTTAATGTTAATAAAAAATAAATGTCGTTTTTTGCCTTGTATAAAAAAAAATGTTTACCGCCTATATCGTTTCCCTTGATCGTCTACCCGCCGTACAGCCTGGCCACAGACGCCAGAAATTACATTACTTGAGAAGTGAAGAAAGATACCGTATAAGAACCAAATAAACGCTGGAAGCCGAAAAGGAACCGCATACAATCTCTCTCTCTCTCTCTCTCTCTCTCTCTCTCTCTCTCTCTCTCTCTCTCTCTCTCTCTCTCTCTCTCTCTCTCTCTCTCTCTCTCAAATAATTGTGATAAGTACGGTGTTCGGATGAAAAGAGGTTTTTACTGTAAAACCCGTCTACACATTGAAGCTTCTGCCATTTGATGTGAGTATATCTAGATGTTGTGTATTGAACCAAAGAAACAAGCCAACAACTAGAAAGGAAGGATAGAAAAGAATATTGCTTTTTTTGCTTACAATAACGTCTAAAATGACCATAAACAGTTATCTAAATATGTGTGTGTGTGTGTGTGTGTGTGTGTGTGTGTGACTTGGATTTTGAACTTAGCTTTAACAGTCAATAGTTAGTACCATTTTTAAAAGCCGGGATTCGAACCCATGACTCCCCGCATCCGACGCGGATGCTCTAACTCTGAGCCACAGGAGCGGTATAAATATTTGCACCGGTCAGTTTGTTATTGTTTATATGCAGGGTCGTCAGATATTTGGAGTAAAATGATGATTGGACAACTATAAAGACCAATAGAGTTCAAAATTTGGCTGTACAATGATGATTGGACATCTATAAAGACCAATAGAATTCAAAATTTGGCTGTAAAATGATGATTGGACAAACATAAAGACCAATAGAGTTCAAAGTTTGGCTTTACAATGATGATCGAACAATTATGAAGACGTTCGTTAACGGAATGCCATTTATTAAACGGGATATATACTGTTTTTGTTTCTTCTAACCTGGCTATGCCATTTTTGGATTGCTGTAAACTATTGCTTTTTGTGTCATTTTGTAAATGGTGTCATTTTGTAAATGGTGATTCGATAGCTAATTCAGCTATATATAAGGCACATTCACACGATTTAATTACAATTGGTGTTAACCGTTGCAATAAAAAACAAATGTTATTTGATATGTCTTATTCAAATAAGATTCACAGAGGGCTAGATTAAGCTGAGTAATATTCTAAATAATTAAAGATTATGTTTCTCAAGCGAATCTAATCTTAAGATTTTAAATGGTTAGATTCTGCATTTCCGATCAACAAGAACCTGGCGATTAGTGACTTACACTCGCCGGAAGTTGTGAGATAGTGTTTTTGAAGCTACCTTTGTTTAGGACTGATATGAAGTTTTCCATTAATTGATGACCTCTGTTCAAGAATGAGATCCTTTTGTTATTTATGCACATGATTTATTGTTTGTCTGCATTCAGAATTAGTGACTACATTAACTTTTCACGTTGATTGGCATATGCCCTACAGTAGGACACGAGGTGTTACCCTTGTTCGACATCTTTGGTTAATTTTGCTTTATAGGAGAAATGGGGCAGCCCTGAATTGTGAACACATTTCTGTTTTTCATATGTCTTGAAAAGCGTGTCTATATTCTCCAAGTCTGGCATCCTTACTGTCTCCACTAGGCTTTCAATGAAGAGATATGTAGTAGAGACCGATCAGGGTACCAGACTACGATCTCCAGACCTACGAGGACACGTACAACAATTATGTACACATAGATCAAGTTCCCTACAATCTTAGTGCAGTTTCGGATAACGCAGTGACAACATTAACAGATAAAGTTTATTTGACGGAAGCTATCGATTTACGGATTTATAAGATTTTCCCCTTTGAGTAATTATTCATTGTTGGAAGTGCCAAAATCCTCTTAAACGCAAGAACAACTTTAGCATAGATTATCGTATCCAAAAACAATAGGACACCATGTGTTTAATTGTGGAAAGGAATGTCGATGATAGATAAAATAGGCAGTGTTTTAAAACATGTATATCAAATACTCTTTTCGGTCAGTGAGAAAATTTAAAAGTAAGACACCGCCCATATAATTTCCCGTGTGTGTGTGTGAAACATACATACATACATACATACATACATACATACATACATACATACATACATACATACATACATACATACATACATACATACTTTTTTTACTTTTTTATACAACCAGAGCAAGAAATTTTTAATAAATATTTAAGTTTCAGGGTAACATAACCCTCACCCCACCTCGATAATGATATGGTCTGTGAGTAAAGAAAATTTACATGGTTTCTGTTTCCTAATACCAATCTGGTTCTTTTTTTTTTTTTTTTTTTTTGAGGCGTGTGACTAGAATGACGTGTGTTGACACTGCGCATTTGCTCACGCGCAAAATAAACAGATAATAAAAGTAATGATTTACATTGAATAAACTAAATTCTATCTAACATATTTTAATGTTAAACATTAGGAGTGAACTTTACATAATCATATATGATATTTGCACACAAATGTGTAAAATTATTGAAATCCGACGATCGCTATTTATTTATTAAAAATTTGTTTTTTTTTATACGCTCTCGTATTCGAGCAGCATTCACTCACGCTGCTTTAATCTAGTACTAGCGATTCCGTGGAAACTCCTACATTTTTAAGCGTTTCAAGTGCATAATTTTAGCCCTCTAATTGAAAAAAAACCCACATATTCTTGGAAACAGTCCAGTTTTATCGCGCTGACCCCCATCCCATACCTTATCTGTCCTTAGGCCCATAGTGAACGTTTTATCACATAAAATAAACATCATATATAATTGGTAGTAGAAAGCCATGCATGTTTCGGATGATTCTTACTTTTAATACAACACAACTTCTTTTACGACTGATGCAAAAACAATAAACAAAAAATATACAATTTAATAATGTTGTGCTTAGGAACGATGCAGCTAAGAAATATTTTACATTTGTAGGATGTTCCTGAACGATTTGGAATTTAAAAAATAAAAACGATTAAATTGCTAGTTTTGTGTTCTGTAATATAAAATGAGAATAAAAATTATCAAAAGATATGTTTTGTCGAAGAATGAAAACATTTGCGAAAAAGACATTCTTTTTAGCATTTAAATTTAAAGTGCTAGATAAATGATACTGTTAAAATTTAAATTCCTTTACCTAAACGAGACCATTTCTGGACCACTCATTGTTTAAATGCCGTTAGATTCTTGCATCGTATTATATACACTATATTCACTGGCGCTGTAGTTTATATCGGGAACCATACAAACAGTGTCAGTTTTGCAATTTTAAATCTAGTATATACGAGAACATTTATGGACCACTGATACTGTTTGTATAAAAACAAACATATTCACATGTCCCTAGCCTACGGCATACATCAGTGCTGCCTAAAACGCTGAACATTGGTGTATTACTATTTCGGGTAGGAATAAGTCATTCCTTCGGAAGACCTCTATTCGGAGACGAGAATATTATACTTCAAAAGTGAACATAAAAATTAAAGTTTAATACATGAAATTACAATTGTCTTCGTCATTTCGGGACAATACCTATCGTAGCGACAATGTCGTCTGCTACATTTTATTCAGATATGCCTTTAGATATATTGGTACCTTGTCCCGACAGAAATGGGCAAAAGCAAAATGGACATGCTACAGGCGAGTCGGTGATGAAGGTACATGTATACATGGGAGTCATATGCAAAGTGAACCGTAGCTTCAAAAGCAACGGGCAAGTCTAGCGACTCTAGTCGAAGCCGTTTCAGAATTCAGTATATTACAGCGCCAGGACGGCTCCTTAGGCATGCTGACACAGAGTGCATGCATAATTAAGGAAAAATAATTTAGAAAAGAACAAAAATCAACAAACAAAACAAAAGAACAACCAACCCCTACCTCAACCAAAAACAAAACAACGATTTTCATGAAGGTTAATTGGACCATAAACGGATAATGGACATAATGACAAAATACTTCAAAAGGTATAGGTATGGTTACATAATGCAATTGGTAACATTAATACCACAAGGAATTGTATTAAAGCCGTCCTTATAGATAATCCAAAAGACAAAAAGTATATTAAAATGAATATCTGTTTGGTAAAGTATTTAATCAATTTTTTAAAATAAAAAATGGACTACTCTATCTTGATTTTGTTTTTAAAAAAGTCACAAATTACCAGTTGAAATTGGTCGATGGAATAAAATAATTCCATATGAGGAAACAAAATGTACCATATGCATTAATAACATTTTGGCAGTTGGGTTGCACTATCTTTCTGAGTGTGAAAAATGTAACTACTCACAAAATATTCATATAAGAATTATTTTCTTCTAGTTTTTCTTTACCATTTTTGCATATAATTTGTCTTTTAGCAATTAATTATTGAATTTTATAAACCTGGTCTTTTTTAAATTTTGTAAAAAAAAGGGTGGGTATATAGTCATAGGAGATGAAATTTTGTCTAATGGAAAAAAACAAAAAAATTGATTATACTTTGAAAAAAAAAATTGCACAGCTATGCCATGTTCGCGACTGACACAGATTTGCCGTGACCAGGATTCGAACCTGGGTTGTCGCGGCCACAACGCGAAGTACTAACCACTATACGATCACGGCTGTCACCGCTGCGCCGACAAAACTTTTAGATTATACCCATATGAGCAAAGCAATCGGCGGTGTTGCCGACGAAACACCTCACAGGCGCTTGATTCCAGGTTAAACTAATGTTTACACTCCTCAATTACCTTTAACACAAGGTAACTAACTTTTGCCGGTTACAATATGATCCTCGATGACTCCGATCAGTTTTCCGATACTATCTGCGCATTCAGTCACTCATAACGTACATCACTGTAAAGAAGGTACTCAACCCATTTCATCCATTACCATTTAAGCAACCTTAATAATTCTGAAAGGCCAATTTTGCGAAATGTTTATCCACTACTTCGTGACTTCCACTACATGAGTCTGCAGTTTTATCAATAAAGCACGACGAAATTTCTGACTACATGAAATCACCGTAACGGTATTATACAATATTATTGGTGATTTCATGTAGTCAGAAATTTCGTCGTGCTTTATTGATAAAATTGCAGACTCCTGTGCTTCCACACACAGGGGGCAGGGGCCAGTTTTTATGTACAAATTTAATACCAAAATCAGTGACCTAGTACAATAAATCATTAAAAAAAACCCATCAAAACCACAAGTGAAGTCAAGAAGGTCAATATTTTGAGATACCTATATTAAAAGAAAGCATAAAAGTGGTAGCCACTTGACCAGAGAAGTCAGTGGCAGCTCATATCAGAAGAAGTTTATGCACCCCAACACAAAATTTATACCTGCAATTTTAATGTCTGAAGGTCATTTTTGACACCATGTGTGGCTCACAGTGCAAACACAAGCCTTTTTCCTAGATGACAATTCTGAAAAACAGTGTGTACTAACAGTCTGATGCAGTTAAAATAGTTGTCATCGAAGCCGTTTTTTTTTTTTTTTTTTTTTTTAAAATAGATATTCTCCTTGCCACAAATCCACATGTTTACTGCTATGGGAGGCTAGCTCTTCTTCCTAGGCAACTATTGGTATTTCACTATCTACATATTGCAGAGTAACTATGGAAGGTGTACA